GGCTGTGCCCGCAGGGGGCTGCGTGGCCCAGGCTCTGCTAGAGGATGGGACATTCAGGTGACACGGCGCGCCGTGAAGAGGGAGGCTGAGGGCTCTGCTAGAGGATGGGACATTCAGGGGACACGGCGCGCCGTGAAGAGGGAGGCTGAGGAGCTGAGGCTGTGAAGGCCGATGAGGATGATGAGCCACTACTGGAGCTAGTCTTGGTGTGCGCTTACGGAGCCTTTGCTGTAACCAGCTTCTGGGAGCGCTGCAGCAAAGAGAGAGGAATAGTGCAGGTACCGGTGCTTGCTTTAACTGGGACCACATGCAGAATGGCATGGGAGGGGGGATCAAGGGACAGCCTTGCCAGCCCTGATGGTTCAAGTGGCCTGTCCAGAAAAGTCCCAAGGCCTCGCAAACAAACCAGGTCCTGGTTCTTGCAAACAGAACTTGTTCCTTGTTCTCTTGCAGTTGTGTGGCTCCAGGATCTTGTGCCTTCAGGGAGTGGTTAAATGCCTCCGTACTTAGTGTGGCAAAGAGCACTCACTGCCCAGGAATCAGAGGAGGAAGACGCAGCTCCACAGAGCCATCCAGGGACCGAGCCAGGACTGTCGCTGCCTGCAGTCCTGTAGTTCTCTGCACTTGTAGCTTTGGGGTCAAAATGTGCTGCAGTATGAGCAATCTCAGGGCCTTCCCCAAGGGTGGTGTTCACATTTCACCAGGTGGCATAACTGTCATGCCTGGATGGCAGCAAACAAAACATAAGATAGGTCAGGGCAGATATGTTGGCCCCCGGCAGCTCTTCAGGGCTGGTGTGTGTGTGCTTGGTGGAGGAGCTGGCACCACAGCTGGAGGGTGTGGGGGCTTTCTAATGGAGGATGGTGTAAGCAGAGGACTCCGCTCCACCTGGGCAGTTCACAGGCTCGCTGGGTCTGCTCAGCAAGCAGCTGAGTGCTTGGGGTGCCAGATGCAGAGGAGCTTGCTCAGCTGGTGTGTGTTGGATCCTGTTCAGTGCAATGAAGGAGGGGGGGAGCATGGTGAGAGCCCCCCCCCGTCTCATTCCCCTTTTCATGGTCAGCTTCACCCTTCCTCCAGGGAAAGCAGCTTGTTGATCTGTTGAAGCACCTTGGTCTGCACCATGTCGTGTACAGTGGCCTGGAGAACATGAAGCAGCTGATGGGAGCAGCTGGAGGTGCTCCACTCTGCCAGCAAAGGTGAGTGGAGGAGTACTTCCAGGATGTTGGCGTTCCCACCAGGACCATCTGACTGCCATTCTACTTCTAGAACTTCCTTTTCAATTTCTATGCCCTGAAGCCAGACTACAACGCAGGCCTCACCATGAAGCTCAACCCCAAGGCCTGCACCTTCCCTCAGCGGGCAGCAGACAATAAGGCCGCCTTCCAGCCCTTCCTTGCCTCCTCTTCCACCTGTGCTTCTGCAGCAGGTAGCAGGAACCAGCCAAGGAGGTGAGCTGTGCTGTCTTTCCGCTAGCACCCTTGTGAAAGGCTGACCCTGCCAGGGTGGGGAAGAGCTTTCTTTGGTCCACGCGTGCACTCCAGAGCTCTCCTGCAACTTGAGACTTTTCAGACCAGCGCAACTAGAACAAGAGGAAGGGCTGTACAGCTGCTGCCAGGCAGGTGAGAGAAGTGCTACCTTTGCACTCTGTTTTCAGGGAGGTGTTTGTTGAGTGATTCTGGGGGTTTTCATGGCTGTAGGGTGGTGGCAGCAGCTTGTTTTCCCAGGTTCTCCCTCTTTCCAAGCTCTTGCTGTGGACTGGTCTTTGGGGTCCTGCCCCCAGGAGCTGAGTAAAACCTTTGAAAGACTGTCCAACCTTAAGATTTAAGACTCACTTTAAAAGCTCCTTCCCCTACACCACCATATGCTTAAAGTACTGCTTGGGTAAGAGCTCAGGGATCTGTCAGTCTTTGCTTGTGCTTAAAGTCATTCCCAGCCACCAGAGAGATGCTCAGTCCATCGAGCCCCATCCTCTCCTTGTCCGAGAGAAGACCTTTGTCCCTGTTGCTGGGGAGGGAAAGGGGGTGACAGACAAGGTTGGAAGAGTAGACGAGGCAGCAACGCACAGCACGTGTTAAATATCTTTATGAAGTCAATCTTATTTACATGGATACAGAATCACTTTACAGACAGTTTAATCAGGAGGCAACGCGTGCTTTATTTCAGCAAATTAAGGAGGGCAAGACTAGGACACGTCCTTGTTTAACTGGTCGATTAGTAGGTGGGCTGCTGGTACCTGCACGGTATAACTATCAACAGCAGGCTGCAGTAACCATGATCATACTGCAAAAGCTCGACTTCGCTGGAAGGAGTGATCCGCTTCACTCGTATTCTCACACATGTACAACAATGACTCTTTGACCATTCATTTATGCTACAGGGGCTGTGCTAATGTAATAAAAGATTGTCTGGAACTGGCAAGGGGCTTGGTGATAAACTGGTACCCATTCAGACACCCCTGTGTTGTAACTTTTGTTAATTTGGGAGAGGGAAGGGAAACCTGAAGCAAAGTGCAGATTCCATCACCGCTCTTTGTGCAGGAAATCAGCAGGACTGAGAAACCCCATGGCTGCTGAGGGAGCCAGGGCAGCCCCAGGGAGACTTCCCACTCAGAGATGTGCAGGACAGGTGGGAGGGTAGCCGTGAGGATGGGGTTAAAACTTGCCAACCCACCAAGTCTCCTAAGAAAAAATAAGTGGTGACAAGTTCACCAAGCACATCTAGCATTCAGAAGGGCACCCGAGTGAGCAGCAGCCATCCTGGCCTCCATACAGCAGACTGCTCCACTCTGCACTGGAAGGACAATTTTTATTTCACCTTTCCCCTGTTTTGGAGTCTAAATAATATTTCAACTTTAATTTTTACTCAATAAGCTTCCAGCAACAGTAGGGACTGTGGAGGAACCACAAGAGAGTGCCACATTTCTGCAAAACTGGTGTTTTCCTTCATTACCGTTTCCTAGGATGGTGGGTGGGCTTTGTGTTGTTGGTGCCTCAGGAGATACGTAGCCTCTCCAGCTGGGATTCCCACTGTGCTGCTGACTGACATCCTTCGCTCTCCAGAGCCTGCTGCCAGAAAGATTCATCCCCAACAGCAAAGACAGTGTGCTGCTACTGGCTCTCAGTTTCCAGTAGAACGCTTCCCTGTGGTTGAAGCAAGAGCAAAGTTTCACATTTCCCGACCAAATCCTCCTGAGACATGCAGCAGCCCCCGCAGCCTGCTTTGCTAGCGCAGGTGTGAGAGCTCCTCCCCGCCGCCATGCTCTGTCAGCCACACAGAACAGATGAGTTTGAAGCCTGCAGTGATGGGAAGCTGAGCCCCTGGACCTCAAGACACCAGAGTCCACCACAGATATTTCAAGTCCTCAGAGCAGGCCAACACCAACTAAATGGCACTGTGAGTTACACAGTCTCCTTGTCTGTGTGATGGGGCTGTGCTGTGCTCTACAACAAGGACTGATTCCTTCCTGGTGCTGTAAGCCCCTGGCAGGGGTCAGTCCAGCCTGAGCATACCGGCACCGGAGGCTCTGCCAGCCCACGTGAGCCTCCCAGCAAGCCCAGGCTTTGTGGTGGCACCAGAACTGCCCAGTCCCAGCTTTACCAGCTAACAAGAATGCCCTCAGTGCTTTGAATCAGGTACAGCCACTGAGCGGGCGAGGAAACAGAGCGGCAGGGGAGGCCAGCAACCTCCCTGGAGACTTATCCAGCATTTTTGCCGCTTTTTGCTGCAGCAACAATGCGGTTTAGTCCCTGGCTCTTTGCTCCAGGTGACAGGGGACAGCTAGGGCTTTTCACGCCTGTGGCTGGAAGGCCTGAGGCTAAGTGAGAAGCAGTGCTGTGCTTTTGCTGCTTCTACCTCCCAAGAAGTGCAAGTCCTGCTTTGTGTATGGGAAAGACGACAATAACACACGAGAGGCCTCCTACCTCAGATGGGGTGTCAGGAGCTAAACATTTTCTTAAGTTTGGAAAGGAATCCCTCCTTGTTCTCCTCAGCCTCAGGCCTATCCCCGCCTGCGTGAGCGCTAGCCCGGGCCCTGCCACCTGGACACAAACAGCAAAGGGCCGCAGTCAGACACATCTCTCACCAAAAACCAGCAACCCTGACAAAGCAAGAGCACTGGAGAGCCCAGACCCCAGAAGTGGAAGAGCAGACCGTGAGCCCAGGTAACACTGTGCCCTTCCCCTCTCCCCAGCCCTCCAACCGGGGAAGGAAATCTCGTGCTGCACAAGCAAGTCAGGGACCTCACAGACTTTGTAAACAAGCACTTGGAATTGAGTCTGCCACTAAAACCAAGTTGTAAACTTGACCACAGCCAGCCACGACTTTACAGGAAAACACAAAGCTGTACTGGTGGTCCCTGGAACAACCTCTCTTCATGTTGTGACTTGTTGAAGCAAAGCAGTGCAAAACCATCCCGGGAGCCTGCTTCATGTAATTTCAAGCAATGCTCAGACAAACAGTATCAAGAAGAAAATGAACTTGGGCTAGAATGAAAAAGGCTAAAGTATTTCAGAACAAGTGTCCAGATAAGGAATCTCACTGGCAGCAATGAGCATAATTTTCCTGTATAAACAAGTTCTGAGAAGTTGTTTGTACCTCCAGAAGTGGCTACAGCACAAACAAAGGAGACCTTCTCTTTGCTGATCTGCTTTTTCTACAGTAAAACCATCAATAACAAGACCTCCAGATCCTCCTCAAGCTTTCTTTGTGCACAGAGTATGCAAAGTCCAGTCCTCCCCATCCTCCCACAGCTGACTGCCAAGCTCTGACTGATGCAATGGTGTGAAATACCGAGGCCTGCAGCAGAACACACCTCTGTCCACTCAGGGTATTTCTGCTTCCCAGAGCAAGGACACGCTTCCAGCAACAGCCTGTCTCTACACAAGTTTGGAGAGTGTTCTTTTTTTCCTTTGGCATATAAATGCCTTTAAAAAGCTGGAATGAAAGTTTTGTGCTTGGAGTTCTCTCCCCTTTCCCCCAAGGCTGACCTTTAATGGTTACCCTCAGCAGAAAAGACTTAACTTCTGTGTTACAGAAGCACTAGAAAACCTAACATTGTAAGTATTTGGCAGATACTGCCTTCTGGTACCCTAAATTTCAGCCTATATTCCTCAGACATTGGCACACGTAGTAGAGAGGACCAGAGTTCGTGGGATCATTGAGCAGCTTTGAAAGACTCTCGCCTTTGCCTAGCTGGATGCAGTCATAAATGCCCTTTTTGGGTTCAAGTGTAAAAAGAAATCCAAACTGCTGGAAAAATTGTTTTCCAGTAGCAAAAGACAAAGCTCTTGCCTTACTGTTCTACCATATGTTTTGCCTTTAGCTGCTACTGATGCCGGGTACCTCACCCCTGAAACTTAAAAGCACATAATTGCTGAATCAAAAATTTTGGTCTGGAGCTGAAAGAGCAGCTTTACAAAGCTCCATCATGCTGGAACCACCAACAAATGTTTCTATCCACAATTTCCCCTGTGCACAGCGTTCGGCTTGGAGCAGCCTTGACAGCAGCACTCCCCTTTGGCTTTCAAGGAGAAACATCCCCGCTGTGGTCAGAAGCACGACAGACCAGCTCACACAGAAAATTGGCCTGAAGCACATCCTCTTTTTCTGCCTCTGCTACTAAGACAAGTTGCTTCTGGCACAGGGGCAGAAGCAGGGAGCAGAAGGCATTCATCACCACAGCTTGTCAGGACCCCAGCTTTCTATTCATGCATGGATTTTTCCAGTAAGGATTCAAGAAAAGCTCTCTGGGAAGAGGCTACCTCCTTGCTTTGTGCTACAGCCCATTAACACCCTACGATTTCCAATATAACATGCTTGGCAGGTTGGGCTCACACACTGTCTCAAGGTGACCTTGGCTCACCTACCTCCCCAGGAACCCTCAGGAAGAGCTCTGCACTCCCACGCCAGCTCCACGAGGAAGGAGCACCAATTCCCACCGCTCACCTGACGCTGTATTTGTGACCCCGTTCACCGTGCCCTCCACATCTGTCTCGTCCTCGGCATAGCTCATCATTAAGGCTCTCTGGCGATCCGTCAGCCTCCTGCAGGTTGAAGACAGAGGTGTGTGGCGGTCTTTAGGGACAGATGTATCTACAGAGCTCCTTAACCCCCTCCAGCGGCATGCATGAGAGGCAGCTACTGGAAGTACAAGACAAATACACCTGGCATACACGGCGAATCCCAATGGTGCTCTTAAAATGAGCAATCTATAAAGAATAAGCCTCAGTGGAAGAGAAGAGATATGACCTGCTGCATTTCACTAAACTGCAGTGAAAAAACAAGTGCTGAGAACCCTGTGTAACTGTAACAGGACACACATCTGGTGGGAGAGCTCAAGAAATGAACTCTCTTGCCAAGTGCAGCAATACAAGCTAAAAAGTTTCCTTCACCACAGGAGTACGGGGTGGCCAAGCAGTCTGAAAAGCAACTGCCAAGGACTTTTAAGCTGTAAGTGTGAGAGCACAGACACGTGAATTTATGTAACTGGGATCCAGACAGAATCGCAGGTAGCCAGGCAAACATGCAGGTGAAGAATTACTTATAGATTTCCAGGGTTTAGGACTTTTAGAGCTGGGCTGCCAAATGGTATTATTTAAAAAAAAAAAAAAGTCTACCTCACATCAGAATTAAAAGCAGAGTGAGAAATTAATGATCTTGGTAAAGCAGCAAGGAATTTTCACAAAATCTTTGTAAAAAACATTTTTTGCAAACAGTTCAAGATTTCAGAAATTTGCATCAGCTCTACTCACTGAGGAACTTTGATCTTTATGTGAATGTAGTGGTCTCCATAGCCGTAGCTGTTAACCTTGGGAATGCCTTTCCCGCTCATTCGAATCCTCTGGTCTGGCTGAATACCAGGGGGTATCTATGAACACAGAGGGATCACATTTATTACTCTAGTTTAACCATTTATGTAGTAATTACATTATGTGTCTACAGAAATTAACTACTCCAGCAAGCTTCAAAGTAGGATGGGAGAGATCTGGTACATTCATGCATCTGGACACATTCAGAAGCTAAGTCAGTGATGATGGAAAAGCTTTTGAAGGAACGAGTGAAGAACCTCACACAGTCTGCAGACCTTGGTTGGGATTTGTCCAGCAGTGCCCCTAGCCCTCGCTCTCCCTGTCCCTACGCAGCGATAGGAAAGGAGGTGTGACCAAGCAGGCCACAAACTACCCAGCGCTCAATCCTGAACAATTCTGAAACTCTGTATTAGGAGATTTGCACCATCTGTGCAGCAAAGGAGAAGTCTCTGCTGTTCCACATCAATCTATGCCCAAGCTCTTCCACACGATGGTACTTACCGTGATATTGATCGTCTCGTACAAGCCTTGACATCTGGCTGTGCCTCCCAGGATAGCCTGTGCTATTGAAATGAGGAGGTCTGAATGGATATCTGCTCCATTTCTTCTGAACACAGAGCTTTTTTGAACCTAAAAGGCAGGCAGTTCCAAACAGAAGTGAGCACACCACCATGAAGTTCTCACAGTAAATGGCTTTCAAAGTTCTCATAATAAAACCTGCCTGAACCCTGCAGTCAGACCCTCTACCGTGCACAAACGGCATGGCTAAGAAGTCCACGCTAATGTTTAGTCTTTTAGAGAAACACACATCTTGACATAACAGGAATTAGCCAGCAGCTTAGGAGGATGCCTGCTTATCTCAGCTACTCCCTCCCCTAATCCTGTTAATTTACCAGCGTCAGTATGATTCTGCAGAGACAGAGAAGGTGCTGCCTTGTCCAGTACTCTCAACAGCAGAAAGCCAGAAGAGGAGAAGATGGAGGCAAGCACCTTTGCAGTGGCCTCACAAGCTGGAAGAGAATTAAATCCTCGTGCATCACCAAAAAGGTACTGAAAAAAGTTTTCTCCTTGACAGAGGTGTGTATGACAGGATGCGTACAGGAGAAGAGGGCCCCAGCTACAACCCCTGTGAAAGCAGCGCTTAACGTGTGTCTGCAAACAGACGCTCGACCAGCCAGGCTCCCACAGCCATTCCCCAGCCCTCCCCAGTGCTCCCACCACTGCAAGCAGACAGCTCCTTCACGCTTCCAAGTCATTCAGGGCACTGAGAACCTGCTCTGCATTTTGATGCAGGCTACCATAAGGGCCTCGTCCTGGAACAAGGAGCACAATTCATGAGTAGGGTTAATGTTATGCCGCTTGTTACAATGCAGATCCTCTGCTGTCTCAGAAAGTTCACGTGGATCATGTTTCCTCAGCTGCTCCAAAGGATCACTCGCTCTTCCTCCTCCGTCCCCCATTCAGACTTCTCAGGCAGTTGCAAGGGGAACAAGCAACCAATGTAAATAATAAAAACAGCCAACAATATAACAATACACACCCTGAAAGTAATGAAAATTTCTTTCCTCCCCACAGGCATCCGAACTGTCTGCCCATCCTCAACACCTGCAATCAGGAAAAAAAAGAGAAAACGTTACCTTGCACTATAATCCATGCGTTACTTGAGTACCTACAGCTTTTCTCTTCAGCTCTCTTGCCATCCCCAGAAGCCTGCCACCACCGCAGCACCTGCGCATCCAGAAGCACAAGGCGAACCAGTGGGCAGCACAGTGACACTCCACAGGAGGCCAAAGGAAGGGGAGGTGTCAGCCTATGTTTATACCTCCGAGGTGATCACTACAGGCCAAGCAGGCTCATTACTTCAGTCCCTTACAGAATTCTTCAGGGAAATGCATCAGACTAAGGAACACTGGGCAGCCTCCACAAACTGCAGGAAAATCACAGGCTGCTCACCCAGGGCAATCTCAAAGCAGCAAGTCTTCAGCCCCATCCCTCATTTTATCCTCTTTGGTGAGGAAGGCCATCTGCACTCTTTTCTGAGCCAAGCTTTCAAGGTTCCCACCCTCCCCCCAAGCTTCATCAAGGAAAAACAAAAGACTCAAGGCAACAAAACCTTTTGAGAGTTTCACTCTTCAAAAGCTGCCTGGAAGGATCCATGCAAGAACCAAAAGCTCGGCTCAGGAAGGGCAAAGCAAACATTTATATCCATGGCCAGAAAGTTCATCTCGCTACGAACCCTTTCAATTCCCAAGTGATCAACCTGCTTTGCTCTTACGGTAACTTCTCTGCAGCAAAACTTCTTATGTTGCTCCCACATTTGTACCTGGCAAGAACCAGCCATGCTTTGGAGGCAAGTGCCTTGCTTGTGGAAGCAAATAACTATATTAACAGAGAGCAGCACCCCAGTGCAACACTAACCAGCTGGCACAGGAACTATCACTGTCTTCTTCTGTTTGGTTTGCCCCGTTCCTCGACAAACTACACACGGTGTTGTTATGATGGAACCACGGCCACTGCATCGTCGGCATGTAGATCGCATTACAAAAGGGCCGGTGTTTATCGTCTCCTGGTGAAGAAAACACAGATTGTACAAATATTTGGTACCAAGATGGTATTTTTCAACTTCCACAAAAGTCAGAAATGCAAAGGGGATGCTGCTTGTGAGAAGCTGGATCAGATTCAGTTTCCATCGCGTTCTGATTTCCGATGAAACCCATCACTATGAGCGAGTGTCTCATGGCCAGGGGATGGGAAACACACCACTTTCCATCTCTAGGCTTTAATGTGCAAGCAGGAACAAAGCTCCTTACAATGTATTTCACAAAGAAGTACAAACATCCATATTTTGAGGAATCCAAGTATAACTCACTTGTGTGAATTACTGCCTGCATCCAGGAAAACATTAGGGAGACTAAGCCATGGACTGAGCTGTGAAAAGCACCCATCGGATTGAAGCACAGGAAGAAATGCTGGGAAGGGCCTGCAGTCTCCTCTGACCAACTAAACAGACAATCTGTGTCTTAAAGAGCACTTACCATGCCCGTGCCGCTGCAGTAGTGGCAGCGCTGCACTTTGGTACCAGGTTCGTTTCCTTTTCCGTTGCATCGCTCGCAGGAGTCATTGATGTTCACCACAATCTCCTTGTTCACGCCTTTTGCAGCTTGGGTGAACGTCAGCTCCATGATGTACTGTACGGGAAACACATGCATCAGTCTACTGCTGATGTGCGATGGGGTCTTAAGCAGACTGAAACTGGTTTAGGTCAAATATCAAACAATGCTTAAAATACATCCAGGTAACAGAGGGTGGGAAGAAATGGATTCAGAAGGGTTCTGCCTCGCTTTAGGAAGCAATAATCTGTCTCATACAAATAAAAAGGGGTACAGAAGGATAGCAAACATTACAGGAATGACAATTACACCAGTCTGATGAGCAGTTGCATAGCAGAAACGAGATTTAAAAATATAAAAGAAGGAGGTAAAAATAGAAGCCAAGCGTTTTTCTGCCCTCGGGAGAACTCTTAATGCTTCTAAAGGCTGCGCTTAGTGGGAATGCAGGAACGGGTGAGGGAGAAGGCTTTCGATCCCAATGAATCCCAAGCTTCTCCTCAAGAAACTCTTTACAGCAGCAAAGATGACTGCACAAAACAGGGAATTCTGTTTATAGTGGAAAGGCCACTCTTAGTACAGCCAGAAGTACTGAATACCCAGCGTGTCTGAAGGCAGCACATGAACCAACACTGTCAACGCTTAAAAAAGCATTTAGCTGCAGTACAAAAAAACAAGACACGGATTTTATTATGGACCCCACGGCAAAGCTAAGCCAATTAAGTTGCACAATTAAGCCAATTAAGCAGTCAAACCTAGCGCTGGAAGGCTTGTTTTATAGTTAAAAGGTATTTTGTGGTTTTTAGCGTTACAGATCAAAGCAGACATATGTAAATCAACGTAGAGCAGAAAAGATGCCACTACAATGATGGAATTGTTTGGCAGCACCAACCGGTGCCAGTAAACACCAGATGAAGCAGCTCAAGTCCAGAAAAAATATTCTGTGTGGAGGATGTATCTACACAGCTTACCAAGAACAGGTGACTCTGCCACCCGTACAGTGGGACACACGTGTGCTGGCATTCCCAGAACCAAATTATTTGCTCAAGGTCGCTTCCAGAGCGATCTGTGACAGACCAGTGTCCCTCTCCAGCTTTTGTGGTTTTCACTTCTCATTTTCATCTAATTACTCAGGAAATAAAGGCACTCCATACCTCCTGTGGCTGGTCAAAGACATTCTGAAAATCACCAAAAGGAGATCCCGAAAACTCTCCGAAGATTTTTCTGAAAAGCTCTTCTGGATCAATCGATGGACCACTGCTCCAGTACTGCTGCCCAGCGCCGGCACCTGCTGCGCCAGTATCAAAACTGGCCGTGCCGTACGCATCGTATTGTTTCCGCTTCACTTCATCGCTTAATACCTTCGAGGCAAAAGAACGATGCCATCAGGAGAGATCCCAAGGACTGGACAGCCTCTACCTGCAGCGCAGCTCCTCTCGGGAGAATTTCAGGCTGCTGCTGGTGTTGTTACTGCCACAAGCCCCTGTTCTCAAACCTTCTTGTCACCAAGGAGGGCAATCCCCATGCTCAGCAGCACAGGAATTACTGAAAAGCTGCTGCTTCCCTTGTTCTCTCTCAGCTCAGAGAGAGAAAAAGATAGGAATTACTAAAAAGCTGCTGCTTCCCTCGTTCTCTCTCAGCTCAGAGAGAGAAAAAGAAAATTGTGAGATCTTGCTTATTTATAATAAGCAAGAATAGCTTAAGTTATATCGTTAATATATTGTGTAAAAGCTGGTGGGAAGAGTGCTGGAGTAAATTTGAAAACCCACAAGAGCAAAAGCCAACATAAGAAGATCTCTGAACAAGGTGAAGAGCAGGAGGAAATGGGGCTGGGCAGGTTCCTCTGTCTCACACTGCCACTAACTGCTGACAGGGATTTTTGTGTATTTAAGCTGACCAATAATTCCACCGCAGTGACCACAGCGTCTGTGCCAGTCACTCCCTGCTCAGAAGGAGCACAAATTCAAACAGCCCAAAACAGATCCAGCTAAATCAGATACTAGAGCTAGGTAATTTCCTCTGGGGACACCACTAGGACAGAGGCACTCCTGCCTTAAGTACCAGATGTGAAAAATTTGCCATGGTTTTACAGGAAACGCACACTAGAAATGTTTCCCCCCCCATCTACCCTCCCATCTTTCCCCATTTTCATGACAATAAATTCCTGCCTATTACCTCATAGGCTTCTGCCAGCTGAGCGAACTTCTCTTTAGCTTTGGGGTCATCCTTGTTTGTATCAGGGTGGTATTTCTTTGCCAGCTAAACAACACAAAGTCAAGTATTAGACAAAAGGAATGGCTCACACACCAGGAAAAACACACTGGGCAGAGCCTGGCATGCAGTCTGGCTATTTTGGGGAACGAAAAGCCGTTATTTTCCGTTATCACCCCAACACAAGGAGCTGCACACGCTGCTCTCCAGGATATTCCCGAGAGAGACCCGAGGTGACAGCACGGGGACCCCAGGCTTCTGGAGAGCCCCCCAGCGCCACCCC